CGTTGCGGAGCACAGGCTCCGGACGCGCAGGCTCAGCGGCCATGGCTCACGGGCCCAGCCGCTCCGCGGCATGTGGGAGCCTCCCCGACCGGGGCACGAACCCACGTCCCCTGCATCGGCAGGCGGACTCTCAACCACTGCGCCACCAGGGAAGCCCCCCAATCCTGTTTTTATATTTGTATTTGAAGAGTGAGTTCATACTGATGCCTGCAATAACCAAGCTAACACCACAGGGTTCTTCTTCACCTTTGTCTATTTTATAATTCATATCTCCTTTCTCCCATGATTAGAAATGTGTTTCCCAACATAAGCATGTATACTCAGTTGCTGTACACTCAAAAGAATTGTAAACTTAAAACACCATTAACAACATCTAACCTACTAAGTAAACTTAGTTGTTCTCTTTACAATATGTACCATTAAGAGTTTACAGTCAAAATATCATATTTAAAAGCTACTTAATTCTTTTCTCTGTATGATTATGTTATCAATCTAATATATACTTAGCCTTATTTTTTTTTCAGTTTGCAATCAATTTTATATCTGCTTTTTGCATCCATTTTTATTTAACCTTTTTAGTATGTAAAATATTTACTTGGTTCAAAAGGCAAAACTGTAAAAACATACTGAGAGAAGTCCACTTCCATCTGTATCTTTGTTTCTGGTTATCTTTCCTATTTTTCTTTTTGTATAAGTAAGCATATATTTATGTATATTTTATGGGCAAATGTATTTTTATTTCCCCCTTTTTCTCACATATTTTCTTTTTATAACAACTACTGCCTCAATGAATAAAATAACCGTGGGCATCTGTTACTTAATATTACGAACTTATGTCTTCAGGATAAACATCTAGAAATGGAATTGCTGGATCAAAGGCTCTGTGCCTGTGTAGCTTGGTTAGGTATTGCCAAATCCCCCTCCCTAGCGCTGTTACATTTTGTGTTCCCATGTGGAGCGTTGGAGAATGCCTGCTTCCTCCCAGCCGTACCGGCAGTGACTGTTGCCAAGCTTTTGAATCTTTAGTGGCATGAAAGGAAAGAAATGGTACTTCAGTGTAGTTTTAAAGTGCATTCCTCTTATTTTGAAGAAATGGGGCATCTTTTCATGTGTTTAAGTACAATTGGTATATCTTTTTCTGTGAACTCTTTTTTTTCTAGTTTTATTGAGATATAATTGACACATAACATTGTATAATTTCAGATGTACAACATGATGATTTGATATACGTGTATATTGCAAAAAGATTACCACTATAAATTTAGTTAACATCCGTCATCTCATATCGTTACAATTTTTTAAAATGTCTTTTACTCACTTTTCTATCTTTTTCTCTCTCTTTATTTTTAAGTTAGAATGATTAGTCCTGTGATATGTTTTAAATATTTTCTCCCATTTTGTCATTTGTCTAACGATTCAGAATTTGTTTTCTTTACCACACTGTTATCACTTAGGCAATTTAGTATAACATGCTTATGTAGGACTTTATTTTGAGATACCAGTTAATAATTTACTTATAAGAGTGAACAAAATTCAGAACTCAAAAAAATAAAAGCAAAACCCAGAAATAAGCTTACAAAGATACAGATATAGAAGGCATAATTCTAAAGTATATTTACTACACAAAGCTAGAGTACCTAACGTATTGCATAACTGAATCAAAATTCAGAATATTTTAGCAGCCTGGAAATACGGGCCAAAAGGCACAAAGTAAAATTTAGTAGACATAACGTTTTGGATTTAGGCTTAAAAACACTAATGCCATAAATTTAAGCCTGGGGGACACCTGCCTTCACAGAAACTCAAATGTGTGTGAACTTTGGGTTTTAATTGACCACACATTTATGTAAGTCCAGCAGGGTAATATGGTTGCTAAAAGAAAATGCACTCCTAGAGTGAATAGTATCAGAAGATTATCCTGATCATGGAGAAAATTGCCCCTTTATGCACTTACTAGACCGTGTCCAGAACGGTACGTTCAGTCTTGGGGTCCACAAATTAAGAGGGTCGTTGACATCCATGGGCAAGTCCAAAGCAGGGAGTCTGAGTTAGTAAAGAGTCTAGAAGTCACATCAGGAACCTGGGAGTTTTAATCTGGAGAAAAGAAAGCAAGTAATCTGTGAAGGATTTGAAGGCTGTCAAGGGGAGGAGGGATTAAAATTATTTGATGTTACTCAAGCTCGCAGCATCTGTGGTTGTGACCTACGAGTGCGCCTGTTGGTAAAGGGAGACTTTCTAACTGGCCTTAAGGGCTGCTGGGAAGAGGAAGAACTGCCTTCCTCACCTACCAGCTCCCTGTGGCCAAAGGTGTCTGGACAGAGGTGCCAGGTCAGGTGGGCGCTGTCGGGAAGGCTCTGCTGCTGTGTGTAGGCAGTCTAGGCGACAGGGTTCTTGCTTTCTGGCTCGGGGAAAGCAATCTTTCCTTCCTTTCTGGTGTATTCTCTTTGCTGGGAACAAGAGCAGGTGGGGAAAGTGATCTGTAGGATTTTTTTGGCTGATTCAAGTAGATGAAACTTTTGGAGAAACATTCGTCTGTAGGATTGAATGTTAAAATGTGTCAACCTTGAGCTTTCAGCAAGATCTGAAGCCAGCGTCCCAAGAGCAGGGACTGCCCCTTGTTGAGAACAGTGTTTGTGGGCAAAGACCTCAAACTGTGCCTCCTCTTACCCATTTATCATTAGTGTCAGCTCCTTGCCCTCCCTCACCGTGGCTGATGAGAGCAGTAGTGATGCCTCAGTATGAACTGTACTTGTTTAAACCCTGCTTAGGGATCTCAGAATGATTCCTATGCTAATCTTATTGTCCAACTTGAATGGGCACATGAATCAACTGGGGACGGCATTAACGTGCAGGTTCTGATTTAGCAGTTCAGAGGTGGGCATGAGATTCTGCATCTCTAGTAAGCGCCGGGTGATACTGATGCTGCTGGTTCAGGGTCCACCCTGCATTGCAGGAGTCAAAAGCAGCAGTCTGCCTAGCCCAGGTGGACTGAATCAGAATCACCTGCCCTGTGGTTGTCTAAAATGCAGACTCCTAGGCTGTACCTCTGTTCTCTGGGACCAGACATCTCTAGGGATGGAGCCCAAGAATCAGCTCTTTGAGCTGGTACTGCAGGTGATTCTTAGGTACATTAAAGGTTTTGAACCACTGGTCCTGGGGAGAATGGATAGGGTGGTTTAGACTCGGGGGGGCAGGAGTGGACTTCCCTGGTGGCTCAGGGGTTAAGAGTTCGCCTGCCAATGCAGGGGACACGGGTTCGAGCCCTGGTCTGGGAAGATCCCACATGCCGCAGAGCAACTAAGCCCGTGAGCCACAACTACTGAGCCTGCGTGCCACAACTACTGGAGCCCGTGCGCCTAGAGCCCGTGCTCTGCAACAAGAGAGGCCCCTGCTCGCTGCAACTAGAGAAAGCCCGCATGCAGCAACGAAGACCCAACGCAGCCAAAAGTTAAATAAATAAATAAATAAATAGATTGGGGGAACACATCGTTCACAGGGACACAGTGAGTCGCATAGAAAGTCGGTTGTAGAAAGCTGGCCACTTCTGTAGAGCTTGCGTGGAGACGACTGGCTGGGTGACCTGGGGCCTCTGCAGCTCTTCTGTAAAGTGCACATGCTATGGGTTGATGACTGCTCTCCTGTCTCTGGGTCTTGTCTTTCCAGTCGTCCAGCATGCTCTGCCCACCCCCCGCCGAGGCGCACTGACCATGAGCTTCAACTCCTCCCTCAGCCACAGGAAGGAGCTGAGTAACCTCACCGAGGAGGACGGTGGCCAAGGGGGCGTCGTCGTCACCGAGTTCATCGCCATTGTCGTCATCACCATTTTCGTCTGCCTGGGCAACCTGGTAATCGTGGTCACCTTGTACAGGAAGTCCTATCTCCTCACCCTCAGCAACAAGTTCGTCTTCAGCCTGACCCTGTCCAACTTCCTGCTGTCCGTGCTGGTGCTGCCTTTCGTGGCGACCAGCTCCGTTCGGAGGGAATGGATCTTCGGTGTGGTCTGGTGCAACTTCTCGGCCCTCCTCTACCTGCTTATCAGCTCGGCCAGCATGCTCACCCTCGGGGTCATCGCCGTCGACCGGTAAGCTTGCATCACGCTCAGAGAATCGAAGGGTTTAGGAGTGTGGGCAAAGGGGGAACGTGAGAGATCATGTGGGCTGTGCCCTCCAAGCTGCCTCAGCTCCTCGGGAGAGTGTCAGGTCTGTGCCGGGGAGGGTGAGAAAGCAGAGTTCTGCCTCTTCTTCTGTCCCCTCAACCGGAGCACCTGTGATTTTATCTGGTCTAGCTTGCGTGTAGTTGGGGACTTCCCTGGTGGTCCAGTGGTTAAGACTCTGCGCTTCCAGCTGCAGGGGACGTGGGTTCGATCCCTGGTCAGGGAACTAAGATGCCACATTCTGTGCAGCGTGTCCAAAAAATGAGAAAAACAAGTTAGAAAAAACAGTTCTATTAACTTCTACTTCTCAGTTGATAGGTGAGAAACAGAAGCTGAGGAAGGTGACGTGGCAGAGGAGGTATCATATCCAGGTCTTCCCCAAAGTGCTGCCTGCTCTCTGTTGCTTTGGGTTGGGCCAGAGCTGCACCGGGGCAGCCAAAAGAGGAAATACTCTCTATCCTCCACAGTGCAAGGGCCTGAACATCAGCTCAGTCCTGGATGGAAGGAGAGCAGGGGAAGGGAAGACACCGCAGGGAGTAAGATGGTGGCACCTGGGAGAGACAGTGTGTGCTTCAAAACATCTGGGCTGTCCCTTCTTGTGGCATAGCTGGCTCTAACAGCATGGAATAGCACTGCTGACGCCCCTCAGCTCTATCTAGAAGGTTCTTCCAGATTCCTGCGTTAGGCTGTCAGATTTAGTTGTGAAAGTCCTGCAGGCTTTGACAGCGAGTTTCCGACCCCTGGAGTCTTCTTTATTAGGATTTTGCCAATGGTCACTTCTTTCATCCCCGGCAAGGGTTCAACCGTATGAGGGCAGAGTGGGGAGATTCAGATTCTCTGTGATTTATAGAACTGGGGAGGGAGTCAGGGAAAACACAGAGGGGTTCCCCAGGGGTGTCGTGTCGTCACTGGGTGACACAAGTCCCCTGGCTCCCTTGGGATCGTCCATTTTTTGAGCCGATGAGTGGTGGCTAGATGGTCCACCCAAGGTGCAGGCCTCCACTAGTGCCGAGGCCAGAATCCTTTCGGCCCTCTGCACCTGAGGGGAGTTAGAGTGAAGGAAGCCATTGATCAGAACTAATCAGGTGGCTTCTCCAAATATCTCCTTTCCCCCCAACAAAAGAAAATAATACCCAAAATAGAAAGAGTACAATAAGAAATATCCATAATCCCACCAATCAGAAGCAATCACTGTTTACATTTTTTTAGTATACTTGCCTCCAGGGATTTTTGGCTGCATGCAGTAAATTTAGAAAACAGGCTCAAGCACATGTGGTTCTGTGACCTGCTTTTTCACTTAACAAGTGATTGTGAGCATTTTTCCCACCTGCAGATATCCCTGGAGAATGTGATTTTGAATGGTTACATGGTATTCTGTCCTCTGGATGGACTGTAGTTTATTTTTACAGTCCCCTGTTAGCTTACTATTTTATATAGCACTTTGATGAAGATGTATGTTTGTGGAATTGTGTTTTCAGTCACAGTAAACACACTTTGAAGATTCTTGATGTGTAAAAGGCAGGCTCCCCTTCAGAAGCTTGTACAGGTTATTACTTCAGCAGCCGTTCATCGGCATCCTGTCAAGACTGATAATAAGCACCGCAGACATAACTGGAAGTCTGTTGGCAGTAGGATGGGATGGGGAATCATTACTTTTGGGATATCCCGTCCTGGGTCCTATGGAAGGTGGAGCGGGGGCCAACAGCTCAGGAACAGAGCGGGGAAGTCAGTTTTCAGATGCCTCTCACAGAACTGTGTATACGTGGATGCTCAGTAAGTGGAGGCAGCTCTCGGAGGCCGTATACTGCTTACTTGGATCTGAGGTCTAGGTAAGCGAGAGTGCAATTTCCACCAGCAAGCATGACCGATTCTCAAATCATGCCATCAAAATGCATCAAACGAGAGAGCACTTGCCTCTTTCGACGCCTTGCTCTTTCATGCTGGGAATATTTGCTGGGTGTCTACTCTGCGAAAGGCCCTGTGCTAAATCCTCAGATGGTAGGATACAGCATGAGCAGGACGCAGCCCTTGCCCACCCACCAGGAGTTCAGAGTTTCATGGCAGAGGCTGACCCGTGGGTGCTGATGTGAACACAAAGCAGAATTAAGCGCTATAACAGCTCCCATAGCTGCTTCTGATGGCAGGGCCTACAATGCTCCAGGGGAAGGGTGGCATTTGAGCTAAGTCCTAACACTGAATAGGATTGCAGGGGCCCTTCCGAATGAAGAAGCCGCCTCCATTTATTCATTTGATAAACAGTTATGGAGCACCTAACGTATGCCTGGCCAGGTGATTGGTGCTGGGAACGCACAGCTGAAGGAGATGAACAGACACGCTGAGGAATTCACAGTGTTGGGGGGATAGACATGTGGCCAGGTAATTTTAGGACCATGTGGTGTGTACGTAGAGCCAGTGTGTTCAAGGTACTGTGAGAACGCAGAGGAGGGAGCAAGGCCGGAAGTGGTGAAAAAGCATGGCACGTGGGACACAGCTGGAGACCAGGGGAAACAGCTGGTCACGGAAGAGGTGACACACGTGAACAAATTGGCGTCACCGGTCATCTCACTAGAGATTTAATCCAGGCACCCCAGACCCCACAGCCCGCGCCAGGGTCACCCAGTGACAGAGCCGTGTGTCGAGAAAGGGCTTCTGCCTCTCCCTGCGATGACAAGTCACCAAGGCCTGGTTGTCTCTGGAAAATAGATCATTTCCTCCTGCGAGTGTAGCAAGATGGATTTGGCCATCACAGTGCTTTGCCCAGATCTTTGACTATAAGATATAGACTGCTGTAAAATTTGGTGTCTTCAAATATTTTCATGGCAGGTGCGATTAACTTTTTTTATTAATTGGTCATTCGTGTGGCTAAAAATACAAATTGACTGGACCAGCGAATTGATCATGTTCATATAAATGATCACCATCTGACCAGGATTTCAAACACCCCTTCCCCTGTCCCCATGAATTTTAGGGAATTAAATTTACTTGATGTTAGTGATTTTGAAGGTTACATATTTGCCTTCTATGTTGGAAACCTAAAGATGCAGCTGTGTGTGTGTGTGTGTGTGTGTGTGTGTGTGTGTGTGTGTGTGTGTCTGTGTGTGTGTGTGTGTGTGTGTGTGTGTGAGAGAGAGAGAGAGAGAATGAGAAAGAGGGAGAAACAGACAGAGAGGTGGAGGGGATGGGTAGGAAGGAAGGGAGAGTGAGAGGGAGGGGAACAGGCGAGAGGAGGCAGTAGTAAAAGATAAGTGAGGAGAAAGGAGAGAAAAGTAAGAGAATGGGGGTGGAAGAAAGAGATGGGAACATCGTTAAGAAAGTTGAAGAAAACAAGGTGGGGGGGGCATGATCTCTACTAGAATGTGTTACATGCTAGTCACCTGCCGGGCACTGCACTATGCCGTTAACAAATGTTTATCCCAGCTAATCCTCACAACGACCCTATCAGTCCTCATTTTGCAGAAGAGCCTAGCGAGGTTTTGCAAACTCGCCCAAGTCCACATGGCTGGTAAGTAACTCGCCCAGTTTCTGAGATGCTAAAGGCTGTGCTCTTAACCATTACACAACATGCAAAGTCAATTGTCAGGCAAATCCGACAACCAGTTCGTTTAGCTTAGGGTTTCTCGACCTTAGCACGATTGACCTATTGAACCGGATAATTCTTTGTTGTGATGAGCTGCCCTGTGTAGGATGTTGAGTGGCATCCCTGGCCTCTACTCACTAAATGACAGCAGCACCTCCCAGTTGTGACAACCCAAAATGTCTCCAGACGTTGCCACACAGCCCCAGTTAACAACGCTACCTAAAGAAATCTGTCAAACTGGTTGGGCCAAGATGGGCCAAGAGCATCCATCCTGTAGCCCCGTGAAGAGAGAGCAAAGGCAGAGCATAAAAAGAATAGCCGGCTGGAGTGAAATTCACCATCGAGAGGTCAGTGTCCTAAAGCAGCCATGTGGAGAGGTCCAGGCGGGGAACACCATTCGACCCGGGAAGATTTTCACTGTGAGTCCAACATGGTCACCTCTGGCTTAGCCTTGGAGTTGCCAGTGCTTTAGGTCCTGTTAAGACGTTTCTAATGTTTTCATTCCACACCAGCGTGTATGAAACTCCAGCTCTAAAAATAGTATTTTAAATAAAAGTAGCTAGCACTATGGGATGGTTAGTTATAGAGCAGCCAGGAGATTTTTCAGTGTTAACGTGTTCACTCCAAGGTAGCTGTAGTTGGCTTAGATTTTGTTCACATTTTTAGTGAAGTCATCTTATTAAAAACAGGGGTCGTGGGCTTCCCTGGTGGCGCAGTGGTTGAGAGTCCGCCTGCCGATGCAGGGGACACGGGTTCGTGCCCCGGTCTGGGAAGATCCCACATGCCGCGGAGCGGCTGGGCCCGTGAGCCATGGCCGCTGGGCCTGCACGTCCGGAGCCTGTGCTCTGCAACGGGAGAGGCCACAACAGTGAGAGGCCCGCGTACGGCAAAAAAAAAAAAAAAAAAAAAAGTAAAAACAGGGGTCGTTATCTAAGTGGGTGATCTCGTGGCAGGAGAGCTAAGCATTGGAGCCCCTACGGGCATTACCACCTTGAAGTTACACGTGACATCACAAAAGGCTCTTTGGGGACCAAGGGTGGTACTTGGGCTCGTGTCTAAAAATGAGTTGTTGGAGAAAAGATCGAGAGCTTCAGAAGACAGCTAAGAGTACGGAAAACAAAGGAAAATCCCTCCGTTTTGGCCTGTATTAACCTGCAGGGAATAGGGAGTTGCTTTTGTTCTTTATTTTCCTTTGAACCCGCAACTAGGCCTAAATGAGGCTTAAGTTTAAAAAATGAAGTTTCAAATCTATTAAACCCATTAAAAAAATTATTTTTGTGGACAGATGTTGGCATGTTTATATCTTGATAAAGGTGTAGATTTGAGCATTGCAATGTATATACATTTAGCCAAAAGAACCCTAAAACCAAAGCAACCTCTGGAGGGTGTGGATATATACAGGCAGCACTCTGGCCTCTGGGGCTCTTCTGATTGTAGGAGACGGCCTCTCAGGAACCAGCACCAACCCCGTGCCTGGGCGTCCTGATGGGCCTCTGGACTCAGTTGGGAGAAATCACTGTCACATCCCACAGGAACTGCTGGTGCCCAGAACCTCAGACAGTGAGTGATATAAATACCACTTGTTAGGATAAAGAAGTTTTGCCATTGAATAATAATACTAACCGGTGTTGACAGTAGCCAGAAGGCTATGTTGCAGAGGACAGCTGATTCGTCTTAATGATTTTTTTTTTTTTTGCGGTACGCGGGCCTCTCACTGTTGTGGCCTCTCCCGCTGCAGAGCACAGGCTCCAGACGCGCAGGCTCAGCGGCCATGGCTCACGGGCCCAGCCGCTCCACAGCATGTGGGATCTTCCCGGATCGGGGCACGAACCCGTGTCCCCTGCATCGGCAGGCGGACTCTCAACCACTGCGCCACCAGGGAAGCCCCGTCGTAATGATTTTGATGACTGGTTGAACGTGGCTGGTCAGAGGAGACAGGGACAGCTCATGTTCCCCAGGCCTGGCTTCCCACACCTACCTGTACACTCGCCCCTGAAGTGTTGCCTGAGGTCAGAGGGCCTGCACAAGTTTTAAACGGGCAGAAGAAAGTAGAAATATCCACCTTGTTTCTTTTTAAAAGTGAAGAAAACCTTCCTGGAAGTGCCCCCAATCCCACCCCAGCAAACTCGCCTCACATTTCATTTGCCAGATGATGTCACACACGTCAGTGCCTCAGCTGGTCACCTGGCCAGGGAGGGTGTGCCACCAGCATGGCCTGATTCATCCCCTGGTGCTTAGAAGGGCCCAGCGTCCCCTGTGGTCACAGCAGTTTTGCAGGAGCAAGATAGGGATTCTGTCTTCAGGAAGGAAGGGGGAAAGGTCAGTGCACAATGTCCCAGCTCTGTCCCCGCTGCCATCTAAAGGGAGGCCCCATCCAGCCCTTTCCCCCCACTCGAGCCCATTCTGTCCTTGGAGCAGATCTATGCCAGACGTTCTGTGATTCCCATCTTCCTGGTGAAGGAACTGAAGCTCTGAGAGGTTAGATCAGCTACCCAAGGTCACACAGCTAGTGGACAGCAGAGTCACCATCAGAACCCAGGGATCGCCAACTCCAAAGGCATGCTTCTTTCACGGGGCTGCATGGCCTTTGCAAGATGCGAACCCAGATGTCAGCAGAAGACACCACAGGCTCTGTGCAGGGGTTCCGTAATCCATACCATAATCACGGTGGTTTCCTCTCATCAGGCTCCACGCTCAGAAACACTCCTTCCAGGCTAGACCTTGGTGGGGCCTCGAGGCTTGAGACCAGCAGTCCCCATCTTGCCTCTGATTTGGAAGGTCCTTCATACAGGGGCCCCTCCATGAGAGTCTGCCCCAGGCAGCAGGTGGTAATTCAGGCCATGGCCCCTGTCCCTGAGCTCTAGTGCCCAGGGGTGACTCAGGAAGGTCCTGGTGGAGCAGGTGGTTCACAGGTGGTGTGTGAGGCTCATAGCCACCATAGTCATCTCCTAAGGTCCCGCCTGTAGCAGGCAGCCTCAGTGTGGTCACCCCTGTCCCGCCACACGTTGCCCTCCTGCAGAAGCCCCATTGTTAAAGAACATTTCCTTTGGATAAAATGTCCGGGTGGGGAGGCTGGTGGTTTGCTTTCAACCACATGGTCTAAATCCTCCCACGCACTCCAGCTAAAGGGTCAGAGCTCAGCTGGCTGGCAAGGCTCCGCACGCCCCGGCCCCCTGGCTCCTTTTCTCCCCGCGCACCATCACCCCGCGCCTGCCTGGTTGAGCTACAGGCAGCTTCCTCATTGAGCCGGTGCTCAGGTACATCTCCGCGTCTCGCCAAGGCTGGCGTTCTGCCTCAGCTGTTTCTGGGCCAGTGCCTCTGTTCTTTCAAGACCTGAGTTTGTGTGCTATCTGGGCCAGGAAGTCCGCCCTGACCCTGCAATCTGGATCCGAGGCCCCGTCAATATGAATCAGTAGCTCTCCAGGCCTCTCTTCTTCTTTATAGAGCTGAGGGGTTAGGAACCACCCCTGGTCTGTGGACTCCGGAACAAGACCAAGACGGTTTGCAGGGAATTGCTGGCATGTGCGCTGGGGACTGTAGACTCAGGTTGC